GGAGTGACCCCCCAGCTTCCAGGCCACTGGCCCCCTTTTCTCACCGTGGAGGGTCAGAAGGGACCTTTTCTTCGTAACCAAACAGTAGCTGCTTTTCTTGATATTTTTTTTTTCTAGGAAATTTACCAAGTTTGGCCCAGGGGTTTACATGTCCCACCCCCTTAGCAAAAGCGTTCACTATTCAAGCTCCAGATGGAAGGCACGGAGGCTATAATTGCAGTCGGCGTTAGCTCAGGAGCGTGCTGAGAGGAGCGGGAACAGGGCACCTGGGGATCCTGGAAGCAGCCACAAGCCTAAATTAGCTGCTGTTCTCTGTATTTGCTGCCCTGCTCCTCTCTGGGGTCCCTCCTTGTCCTCTCTCCTCCACCTTGGCTCCAGGCCGTTCTGCTCCTCCCTCTGCCAGCCGCCAGCCAGCCTCTGACAGGTGCATCCCACAACTGGTCCCACAGAAGCAGTGTCCCCACAACAGCCTTTGTGTTGACAGGCGTCCTGGGGCCTTCTGGGCTGGGCAGAACGGTTTGATAGCAGCTCAGGGAATTGCTTGGGAGGCCAAATGCCCCAGCATGGCTGAAGGCCTTGCTCAGTGCCCCAGCGGCCTGCTCTCAGTTTCCACCTCCAGGCGTACTGAACGGCTTTCCTTTCTTCCCAGCCTTTGTCCCTGCTCCTCTCTGCCCACCATCTCTTTTCTGCTTTCTTCGCATCCTCTGACTCATCCTTCACCAGAGAAGTCCATGCTTCCAGGACCCTCAGGTCTGGCCAGGATGCCTTCCCCTCTGTGTCCGCCTTCCCCACCCAGAACTCACACTGGAGGGGGCTGCAGCCTCAGTGTCCGGGGAAGCGCCTGAGGACACACAGTAGGTTCTCAGGAAAAATACATTAATTGCTTAATGAGGAAAACAAACCTGATTCTCTTTCTGCCTAATTTCCTCCAATTCCTTTTTAAAGAAGGACTTACATTTTTAGAGCAGTTTTAGGTTTACAGCAAAATTGAGAGGAAGTTGCAGAGAGCTCCCAGCTACTCCCCCCCACCCTCGCCCCAGTCCCTACAGGCATGGCCCCCTACTATCCACATCCCCCCAGGGTCCTGCCTTTGGTACAGTTGATGAGCCCACCCTGACACATAGTTGTCACTCAAGTCCAGAATTTACATTAGGGTTCATTCTTGGAGTTGCATGTTCTGTGGGGTTTGAACAAATGTGTAACGACAGGTACCCACCGTCACAGCATCACCCAGAGTAGTTCCACCGCCCTACAAATCCTCTTTGCTCTGCCGACTCATCTCTCCCTCTCCTGACAACCACTGATCTCGCACTGTCGCCATAGTTTTCCCTTTTCTGGAATGTCATGGTTGGAATCACACAGTGTGATGTGTGGCTGTTTTCATGTAAGTTTCCTCTTTGTCTTTTTGTGGCTTGATCACTTGTTGAATATCGCTGAATAAGATTCTGTAGGGTCTGGATGTACCCACCCACCCCCGCTTTCAATTTTACAACAAGAAGAGGGGGGCACTTTTCTATTTCCACTTTTATAGGGCTGATGTTGGCCAGACGAGGTGTTGGGGTGAGTGGCTTCCTCCATCATCTTCTCACTTTCAATCCTGACCCCTCTGGGCTGGGCCCCCTGTGCGCTTGTGTTGCTCACTGCTCCCTACTCTGCCGGGTTTGCCTCCTTAATAATAGCCAACATTTTCTGAGTACTTACTATAAAGGTCTAAGTACATTTATGTTCTCCGTCATCAAATGCTCATTCAGCACCCACGTATCAAACTTTGGGGGATCATGGGTATAGCAGTGAGCACTGTTGACAAAGCTCATGGAGCTTATAATTGATACAAGCAGATGTGTAAACAAGTCCACACTACAGCAGACAGTGATGAGTGCTGCAGGAAAAGGAGACCAGAGTGGGGTAAATGGAGCTAGTGGGGGATTGTTATTGTTCGTAGGGTGGTCAGGAAGGGCTCATTTTTCAGCAACATTTGAGCAGGGACCTGAAGAGAATGAGGAAAGTTGCAATGTGGTCATGGGGCAGGGAAGAGGTCAAGACAACAGCAAGTGCAAGTCAGGGGTGGCGTCGGGCCATGTTCCAGAAAGATCAGGAGGCAGGTGTGGCTGGAATAGAGTCGAGGCAGCTTGGGGAAAGGGGTAGGGGGTGAGGTCATACAGAGCAGCACTGGCTAATAGAATGTTAGACAGGACACATCACTGATGTATGTAAGTCTCAATTTTCTAGCGCATTTAAAAAAGTAAAAAGAAATAAATGAAATTGATTTTAATACTACATTTTAAATGCCACGCACCCAAACTATTATCCCTACAACATGTAATAAAAGTAAAAAGTTATTAACGAAATATGCTTTATTATGAAGTTGTCAGAATCTGATACGCGTTTCAAAATCTTTTGCCCATTTGGAATATGCTAGCCACATTTCAGGTTCAGTGGTCATGTGTGGCTGGTGGCTGCCATATTGGATAGCACAAATAAAGAGCCTGAAGGGCAATGCTAAGGCCTTTGAATGAGTTGAGGAAGCCAATGGTTGCTTTGGGACCCAAGAGTGAGAAGTGTCTGCCTTAGGTTCACTGCAGCTGCTGTGATGTGAGATGATTGTCATGGGTGGGGCGTGAGGAGCATGGGGTGGGGAAGGGAGGCCTGGAAGGAGGCTCTTGCTTGGCATATGGTGTTGGAGGCTTGGCTTATGGTGGTTGCGGTGGTGGTGATGAGAAGTGGCTGGATTCCAGATACGTTTTGAAGGTAGGACTACCACATTCTCCTGGTGTGATGTGCGAATGAGAGTTTGGCTTGAGCAATTGGAAGGTGCAATAATTTTCAGGATGAGGTTGACTGTCAGAGATAGAGGGAAGCCTTTGGAAGAAATCTCGGGTTTGGTTTTGGACGTGTTATGTGTGAGATGTGGGCATTGAGCTTGTAGCTAGAGTTGTTGAGGAGGCAGCTGGATGGATGAGTGTTTGGCTCTTGGGGGAGGTCCGGATTGGGGGTGGTAAGAATCTGATGATGTTTCAGGTCATGAGGTGAGCTGAGAGCCTCAGGGAGCAGGTGCAAGGGGAGGCAAGGGGAGGTTGAGTCTTGGGTAGTGAAGATGGTATCAGTGAAGCAGGCTGAGCAGAGTGTGTGTGGGGACTTGGGGAGCCAGTTGAAGGGTGGAAGGGTGTTCAGGTGGGAGGGAGGGATCAGCTGCATCCAAGGCTGTTGATGGACTGAGATGAGGCCACGGATCTGGGCACTGATGGCAGAGGTAAGGGTTGACACCAGGCTGAAGTGGGTCCAAGAGAATGGGAGAAGGGGACACAGTTAGTAGAGAGAACTCTTTTGAGAGATTTTGCTTTCAAAGGGAGCAGAGAAGTGGGTTGGGAACTTAAGGGGTGTGCATGGTCTCAAGAAGGTTTTTTAAAAAATGAATGATGGATGCAATAGCTGATGGGAATGATCCAGAAGATAGAGCAACATTTTGATGTGGGGGAGAGAGAAAATAATGAGCTGTCTCAGTCATGCCCATATTGACCCTATGTGGTAGGTACTATCTTACAGACAAGGACACAGAAGCAAAGAATGGTTCAGTCACTTGCCAAAGATCTGAACGCCGATGGCTCAGTCCCAGAATGCCCAGTCTGAGGCACTATGCTATTCTGCCCCTCGGTTTCCTGGCTGGAGTTGGGAGCTTTCCCAGAGCGGGGCCTACTCTCCCATTGGCTGGGGGCTCTGCTGAGATGGGACTTGGTCAACCTTTCATGACTGAGAGATCATTTCTAGGAACTGAGTACTAGAAGTTCTAGTCCACTGGCTCCTGGGGGAGCAAAATGTGGCCTCAGCTTGCTGCATCCCAAATCCTTCTCCCATGCTGTGGGGCCTTGCGTGGGGAGCATGGTGCTCAAGAGATTTTGGAAAACATTTGTAGGATGGGTGAGGAATGGATGAGAAGACCACGGCTCATGCTAAACCCTAAGCTACGGCTCCCCCTGGCATGCCACGGTGCTGGGTGTGGTCAGGGCTCCTATGTGGGTTTGCTGCTAGCCCACTGGGTGATCTGGGCAGACCCCTTGTCCACTCAGTGCCTCAGTTTCCTTTTTTGTAAGATAAATTGGGTTAGCTGGTTTTCACCAGAATGGCTCAAGAGGGTATATGTGTGTGCTATTTGTATTCTGGTTACTGAAGGACCCCATAATGAGAATTGTCCCACCCCAAGTACCAATGTGCTGCAGGGGGTGTTCAGGGGCCCTGGGGCTAGTCTTGGCTCAGCTTCCCCCTAGGTGGGCAATTTTAAGCCAGTCTCTTTATTTCCCTAATTTGTAAGCATGGCTATGCCCGCCTAGTTGCTATAGGGTTTGGAGCTGTGATAGGTTTTTTTTTTTTCCCTAAAACTCTCATGACAGATTAAGGCTTGTGATATGTTTTATTTATTTTTATTTATTTTTAGAGACAGGGTCTTGCTTTGTCACCCAGGCTGGAGGCAGGATCATAACTCACTGTAGCCTCAAACTTCTGGGCTTAAGTGATCCTTACACCTGAGCCTCCTGCAGAGCTGGGACTGCAGATGTTTACTATAATGCCAGGCTGGGTTTTTTCCCATTTTTTGTTTTTTTTTTGAGAAGAGTCTTTTTATGTTGCTCAGGCTGATCTCAGATTCCTCAAGTGATTCTCTCCCTTGGTCCTCCCAAAGTACTGGGATTATAGGATGTGCCTGGCCTGACAAATTTTATTAAGACCTTGGATTAACAATCATCATTGTAATAGGTCACCGTAGGTACCACTTACCCCGTACCAGGCACTGTCCTAAGTGCTTTATGAACCTGTGTATTAACTCATTCAAGCCTCACCACAACCTATACTAGGAGGTAGATTCTCTTAAGTGATGCCCATTTCACAGATGAGGAAACTGAGGCAAAGAGTGGGAACAAGAAAGCACATTGGGTGCTCCCAGTGAGCAGGTGGCTGTGTCTTCTCTGCGTCTGTGCAGCCTCTGACCTGCACTCTCCTTCCTCCTCCAGGGACAGGGGCAGACCCAGCGGTCAGCGCCAAGAGCAATCACTGCCTGGACGCTGCCAAGGCCTGCAACCTGAACGACAACTGCAAGAAGCTGCGCTCCTCCTACATCTCCATCTGCAACCGCGAGCTCTCGCCCACCGAGCGCTGCAACCGCCGCAAGTGCCACAAGGCCCTGCGCCAGTTCTTCGACCGTGTGCCCAGCGAGTACACCTACCGCATGCTCTTCTGCTCCTGCCAAGACCAGGCCTGCGCTGAGCGCCGCCGGCAAACCATCCTGCCCAGGTGCTCCTACGAGGACAAGGAGAAGCCCAACTGCCTGGACCTCCGCAGTGTGTGCCGGACCGACCACCTGTGCCGGTAAGAGGGCGCTCGAGTGGCCTGACTGGGTTCCCCTTCTCTGCATTTTCTGGGTCCATGGGATGAAGACCCTAAATCCAGCCAAGAGAGTGTCAGTAGACACGGACTTGGACGTGTGCAAATGAATTGTCATCCATCCATTCATTTCATCGATTCATTCATTTACCTGCCCATTCATTCATTCTTTGCTCATTCATTCATTGCTCATTCATTCATTCAGCGCTGGTTTCTCATTTGCTTACTTTGTGCTCCACCCCATGCTGTAGGGAAACCCAGATGAACAACCCAAGGCGCTTTGAATCGAAAGGCAGACTCCTAAAGCCTTGGAATAATAAGGGACTTTCAGAGAGTTTAGTCCCACATCTAAGGAAAGTCCCCACCTAACACCTCAACAGAGGCCATGTGGCTCTCAGGGAAGGTGCTTTTGTCAATCACAGAGTCAGCTCATTCTGCACCCACTCTGAACTACTCTAGAGCTTGGGGAGAAAAGGGCTCTGGAATCCGACAGTCCTGGGTTGGAATTGGGACTTTACCACTTCCTGGCTGTGTAACCTTGAGCAAGTTTCAAAAAATTTCCTCAACCTGCCCCTTCCCCTGGTAAAACAGGAACAAAAGTACCCAGATCACAGGGTTGTTGTGAGTGTTAGATTACGTAACTTGTGTCTGAAGTTTAGCACAGAGGCTGGAATACAGTAAATGCTTAATAAGTGTAGCCTCATTATTAGGAAGGAGGCTTTTACATTTTTTGGTTGTAGTGAGCAGAAATTTGGCTCTTTGTAATTCTAATATTTTTCTTGTTGTTAAGTATTTATCGAGCTGTTCTTGTGTGCATAGTTTGGTCCTTAGGCCTGGGCTCACAGAGAGGAACACAACACCCTCTTAGGAGTACTCAGTCCAGCAGGGTAGCAGACAAGGGGACAGCGATCCTCACTCAGGAGGGAGCATAGGGAGGGGCATCTACTGTGGAGTAGAGGTCCAGGGGAGGGGGTTTCATCTGAGCCTGGAGAAACAAGAAAGAGAAAGCCAGGGAATGAGTTAGTGGAAAGAACATGGCAAAGGCCAGAGGGTAGGCGAGGGGTGGGTGATGGGAACTGTAGCTGGGGGGCACATGGAGTGGGCTACCATGGGGGTGGGGGAGCCAGAGGCCAGGCTGTAGGTAGCAGAGATTGGACTAGGCACAGGTGGTTATGGGTTGCCTGCTATGTTCCAGACACTGTTCTAGAGGTGTTATGTCTCGTTTAATAGCAAAGCTATGACGTAGGTACTATCATCTTTATCTGCCTAATGGGGAAACATCTGGCAAAGTACAGAGGAAGGAACTTGCCTAAGGTCACCCAGGTCACCATACATTTCAGGGCTGGCATTTGAGCTAAACAGCTGTCTTTCCAGAGTGGTGCCCTGCTCTGGACTCAGATATTGGCTGTGGGAATGGAGAAAAGTGGCTTGTTTCAGAGGAGATTGGCAAGTAAACCACGCAGGACAGGGTGGCTGAAAGTGCCCTGGAGGCAAGAGCCATTTCTGTTTGTTTACTGCAAGCCTGTCCTGCACACAGAGCCAGGCACATGGGGAACATAATTTGAATGTGAAAATGGGTGCTGACCACCACATGTCCTAGTTGAGTAACTCCAAGGCAGTGGAGCCATTTGATGGGGTTGGTGCTGGACATGCAGCATCTGAAGTGCCTGGTGGACTATTGCCACCACCATGGCAACATCTGGGGGGCACTTGGATTTGTGGATCTGGAGATCAATAATGAGGCTGGAGAAGAGATGGGCTTGGGAGTTACTGGGCACATCACTGGTGATTAAAGCCACAGCAGTGTGTGAGATGGCACAGGGAGGGTGGTAGATGCCTACAGAGTTGGGCATCCTCAGTGTTTGGGTGACAGGTGAATCCCCTGGAGGGGCAGCAGGGGCAAGGGAAGTGGACTGTGAGGGTGGAGGCCAGGCTGCAGGAGTGGGTAGTGGCCCCTGAAACCAGGGAACGGGGCTGAGTTGGGTGCCTCACAGAATGTGTGTTGTGTGTGCATGAAAGGATAGTGGCAGCCGGATTGCACTGGGCTCACCTGGCAGGGAGGCAGAAGTTGAGGCGTTGGGAATAAACCACCTTCTTCAGAAGGAATGAGGCAAGGGCCAGAGGCTGCAGAGGGACCTGGGTTTTGGGGCTTCTACATTAAATGGGCAAGCCAGGCTGTGTGTGCATTGACTTTGTTTGGTTTGGAAAACAAGCTCTCCTGGAGTTCAGAGAAGGTGCTGATCCCAGAGCCAGCTGCCGGGCTCAGGAGAACTCTGTGAAGAAGCAGGCTTGCCTCTTCTGCTTACTTAGAAAAATGCGCCTTATCACCTGTACAGACTGGTTAAAACGATTTAAGATAAAACTCAGCATGCAACCATAGGAGCACAAAACTCAGCAGGAGAAAGGAGAGCCTTAGAAAGATGTCAGGAGCAAATGTGAGGACCCTGCAGTGTGGCCGGGTTACCGAACCTGAGCCCGGAGCTGCCTGGTGGCTTGATGGGCCACATAAGTCCTCATGCAGGATAGATAGAAGGACCTCGTTAGTTCTCAGGCAGAGGCACATTCTCTGCTTATTCTGAATGCAATAACGACGTTGGGGGCTGCACCACACAGCTGTGTGGAGTGACAGAGCAGAGACCAGGCGAGGAACTGGGCTCCAAGGGAGCGGGAAAGGATCAGCCTGAGACCAAGCTCAAGATGCAGCACCCAGAAAGCCAGATAGCTGCAGAGGGCTGGCGACAGGCCCTGGGAGTCAAGCCACCCACCCAGATGTCTGAACAAGGCGTCTCAGGCAGAAGAGACAGGAACTCTGGCACCCGTTTTATTAGTGTTGTTTTAAGGAAGGTTAGGTAATGTAGAACATGGCTCCTAATGGGTCTGTGGCCCTACATAAGGTGGGAAGGTTTGGAGCAGGCTGAATTTGGTGGCTGGAGGACGCTTGTGCCTATTTAAAGAGTCAGAGGTTTTTTTTTTTTTTTTTTTTTGACTTCTTTTTCTGGAAGTGAGGGAAGCCAGGAATGGAGGTATTAGGTGATAAACTTCACCTTGTAGAACTAGAAGGGATGTCTAAACAAGATTAAGATCAAGGCTGAGGAATCCCAGCAGTTGAGGGTGCCAGTATCTGAGCCTGGCAGATCAGCTCCTTGCCCTGGGAGAGAGATTTAGATGATGGCTATCCCAGGGCTGGAGGACAGTGCAGTGTCTGGGTTATTGAGCTGAGTACATGGCTCATTTTGGGAAGCCGTGAGTAGGACGTTCTGGTTGCTCCAGGATATTGTTAGCTGAGTTCCTGACCTTGCACCAGGTTGTTTCTCTAGCCCATCCCTGCCTAGTTCCCACCCCACCTAACATATCCATCCATGTGCAAATTGAAATATGATCTCCAACAGGGAAGGAAGGGATGAGGGCAGAATCTGCATTTAGGATCAGTCTGTAGGAGCCTTGGGGGATGTTACAGTTCAATGAGGTGTCCTTTAAACTTTGTTCAGAACTCAGAGTTGAGGAGTAAGGTAGGGTGCCTTGACACACACACCAGGAAGCCACCAAGGCTGTAATGCATAGAGAACAGGTGGTGGACAGAGGTGGTGGCCATGGAGCCCCAGTGTCAGCAGACCTGCCTTGCCTCCTCATTCTGTCTGGGGTCTCCTGAGTGGTCTTATGTGCTCCACCAGGCCTTCTCCAGGGATACCCCCCTCCCCAAGTCTTCTGGGTCTATGACTCTAAATCTCAAACTCTGGCTCTTTTAATAGGCACACATATTCTCCAGCCACCAAATTCAGCCTGCTCCAAACATTTCCACCTCATGTAGGGCTGTAGACCCTTTAGAAACCATGTACTACATTAAGATTTGAGATTTTTCAATCTGTTTCCTCCCTCTCTTCCTGCTCCCCACCTTGATATTATATTCCTGCAGAGAGGATATAATCTCAAGAGAGAGATTATATTATCCCTGCAAAGAGATAATATTATCTCTTGACATAAGAGGAAATGACCCAAGAAGCCTCACTAGGGTAGATGGTGTAGGGAGTGTATGGACAGGCACTTCTTGTGAGGCTCTTCCTAGCAGTGCACCTGGAAGGAGACCATGTATTGCTCTCCCTGGCGTCCATGGAGGTGCCCGGGCCATCCTGTGGGTGCCCAGGCTCAGCACCAGAAAGCAATGGTTGGTTCAAGAGTGGCATCTGGAGGGCAGGAGGCCTGGGCTTGGCTCTCTGCTGCACACGAGCAGCTGTTCTCTTTCCTCCTTTCCTGAGTTCGGCTTCTTCCAGGTTCCTGCCTGTCAGTGGAAATGGGAGATCCCAATGGCATGGTGTTTGGAGCAGAAATGGAAGACCCCTTGCAAGCCACCTCCCTTTCCTGGATACCTTAATGAACAAAGATGGCCTTGATGGGGACTCATGGGGGCAGTCTCCTGCACACAGCAGAGGCTTTAGACTCTTAGACAATGAGGCTTTCACCCATGAACCCTCCGTGACCCATGCTCTAGTGTTTTGTTGCCTGGTGCTGACTTATTCAGGCCCTCCTGGCCCCCATGGTCCTTGCTCTTGCTCAGGGAGTTGGCTCCGTTATCCCCTGGCCTCTTGCTGAGTGAATGTTGGCCCAGGATTCTTGGGGGCCAGCCCTGCCAGGGCCAGCCTAACCTGGCACTACATTCAAGCAAGTGCATTGACTTGCGGTGAGGCGCACCTCGTGGCAGGCCTCGTCCATCACCCGTGTGATATTTAACAGACTCCACTGTGCTGTCTTATTAAATGTCACTAACGATAAAGTGTTGGCGGTTTTCCTTGGGGCTTGAAGAAGCCTCAGTTAAACAAGGATATCTGCTTGCTGGGCCTCGGGTTATTGGAAGCACTTCTGAATCCTCCCAACACCCTCTGGACTGGGAGCAGTTTGGGGGTCAGTGATCAAGGATGCGCTTCTGGGAGTGGAAGTTCCACCCACAGTTCCTGCCTACTTTGGAGTCGTGGAGGGAGGCCAGGCTCTGT